CTGACCCTCTCTCCAGATCGAGCCGTTACGAGATTTTGTGTTCATGCGGTAGCGCCTGTGTGGGAGAGACTTGTAGGCCCATATAAAAGAGGTTATCTGAACACGAACCCAAAATGGGAATTGGCTGAACATGTGGCTCACACAGGACATCGGATAGATTGGTCTAATGCCGAGTGCCAAACTGAATATAAGGACTATATCAACCAGTAAGCATCATCTTACACGAAATAGGGTGAATGCATCTCATTACTTCATCACTTTCCACAAAATAATGTGAACACAACTCAAATATTCTAAAATAATGGCTGATTATTCTCAGCCGGACTTCTCCTTAGTCTTCTTTTCGCACAAATCCACCGTCACAGCTTCTGGTGGGGCCAAGTTACGAATCTCTTCCACTCGCCTCGTGAAACGAAATGAAAGACTGCACTCCAACATCAATCCTATTGACGGCGTCCTCGAGACCCACTTTCTCTGCATGCCCAAATGTATTTGGCAGCTTGCCCCATACGGTTGGACCATCAAGCTTGCACGAAGGGTCCCTGTCGATTTTGCATTTCCTGTTATCGCATGTCCCAGACTGGCCATGCCAACAGCGGCAGTCGCTCTGATTGTCTCACTGATTCTGTGCAAATTCTACCAGCCAATTGGCGGCTTGCTCAATTTGCCCCAATTCTCTTCCCCTCCTGCATCCAGCCGGCGTCTCACTCCTTCTCTCTCGCACTATCCCCAGCCCGACCAATCGGCCTCATTCAGTCAAACGGCCATCTATCAACCTTGCCTCCAGGTTTGTCAGTTCGCTTTCTTTGGCAGAAAGTAGCCAGAAGGGTACCTAAACGCTGCGTCAAACTCTTGGGATTCTCCGCTCCAGAATGAGGCTGCATTGAGAAGCGTTCAGCCAGACTGGCAGTTATGTCTTACTGTTGGCTTCGTTTGAAAAAGAAGTTGCCCTCGTTTGTGTACCTAGTCTCGTCTGCATTTATAGCTGACTTTTGCAGCTCCTCTTCCAAATCGCCAATCCCCTCATTCTCCCCTTCTTCGCCATTCATCTACAGCTTAGTGCCAATGCAACTTTGCAGTTTGACTCGACTCCCACTCTTCTTTTCTCTCCTCCTATCACTCTATGCATATATCACGTTTTCAGCCTAGGGCGTTTTCAGCACGACATTGGCTTACAAGCCTCTTCTCGACGGCACTGTTCGCTAATGAATAATTTAATTGCTTTCCAGCCCGTAGTTGGTCTTGTTCTCAGAATATTGCCAAAACCTCTGACTGCTTGCATTAGGTCTTGCCATCTTGATTATAGATTTCCACTCACTGTTTGTTCTTCCCACAACCGGAATGCATTTTATCCAAATGCTCATTTTTGCAACGATTCACCTCACATTTGATGTCTATCAGACAGTTATGCTCAACTTTCCACGACCAGATGATTGCACTGACGAATGATGAAGCCGTCTGTCTCGATCCGCTGTCAATCTTTAGAATTTTGCTTACCGTTAAATCCGCCAGGTCGTCGAATTATGGGTTTTAAGTAGCCCTGATCTTGCTTCTTGTACTTTCCGTCATACTCTAATGTCGTGTATCGCTACCGAAAATGTCACCTTTCTGCTTCAAATCTCGTCTGTCTTCCGTTCGAGTCCATGCTGGACCGATGCATGCAACAGGGAAACTTAATGGTGAGATTAAATCCTCTTGTGGCTTCAGCATTGAGCAATTTGAGGGAATAAATAATGGCCCGGCGATTCGGTTGACCAAACAATCCAGCCACTAGATAGTTGTATTGTTGACTCATTTTCGCGTTTTATCGGCCTGCTTAGTATGTCTAAAATAAATGAATATATCAACGTATGTATCACATGAGAAATCAAAAAAGTCCGTCTGATTATCTCTCAGGGCTTCGCAGCTGTCATTCCATGACGTAAATGCCCTACTGTCGAGACCACATAATTTGGTCTTTAGCACAAAAAGAGAACTTCAGATCGAAATGTGCCATGGCAGTTTGCCACTTTAACCCCTTAAAGATGAGTTAGAATGGCTAAACACAAAGCCTGAATAGAGAGCTGTGCAGTTGAAGCGAGAGATGCCTCGAACTCTGAGCCCCAAAATTCCCACTTGTCATAAAGGAATAAAAGCAGTAAAATCTTCCGTTGTGCCTATGTCATCGGGGGAATCTCGGTTTATTCGTACATAAAGTTTACTGCATTATTATTGTCCTGAGAGGTGATTTGCAAGCTTTTCATATTATCGCATACCTAATGTCTGCTTTTACCAATTTCCACACCCGTAGAGGGAGAATGCCGGCTCATTTATAATCCAATACTCACCTTATTCGTGTTCTACTATCTGGGCTTATGCAGAAAAGTGTACCTTCATACCAATTGTGCTTCACTATTTAAAATGCCACACGTATAGCTCGTGCATCATACAAACTCATATCCATCCTTTTTAAATTGCCTAGATATGCCTAGCTAAAGCGTTATTGTTGGGACCTTCATTTCGTGTGAAAGTGGAAGAAAAATAGATTCGAAGGTCGATCTCACTAGAAGAGGATGGTTGAATCCCGTTGTGTCTCCGCTGTTTGGCCTCTATACCACGTTGAGATTGATACAGTCAACGAGACCTCGCTCTTTTCAGGTCAAAACGGGCTGACCTTTCGTCCACAATATGATGGGCATTATCCGTGTTAACTTGATAATTTCACAAGAATGAGCCCCAGCTCTGATGATATCCATCAGTTGATGGACGAAAGCAAAGCTGGTTTTCACCTGAAAAGAGGGAGGAGGTCTCGCGGACTGCATCAAATTCAACGTCGTATTCAACGCTATTCAACCATCTTCTTCTCATACATTCATACGAAATGAAAGTCCCAACAATAAAGTTGTCTCAATAGATACATCGAAACCCTGTTATTCATCATATTTAAGATGTATTCACCCAATTTCGTTTAAGGTGATGAAGGACTGGTAGAAGTAGAACTTTCCCACAAATGATATGAGTTGAGTTGACGTTTCCATTGAATTTTTACATAGCTTTGCTTTAACAAAAGTTGTTCTCATCGCATTGGTCTTATCATCACCCATAAAGTGTTAGCTGCACTTCGAGAATCGATTTACTTCTTCTATTGAAACATGCTACTCGTCTCAGTTCAACAGTAGTCCCATTTCTGTTCAGTTTACTGTTCATAATTTGCAAATATCAAGTGGCTAGGCTTTGAAAAATATATTTAATTATCGCGTTTCTCCTACGAAATGGGGAAGGCTTTCGTGTGAGAAGCACTCATGCGGTGTTGTTACCCACTCACTACAGATTCATAGCGAATAGGCTGGAGGAAATTGTTTGACGCTTTGCACCACATTGCGAGGCAACCATATTGTTACCTCAGAGAACAGCAAGACTTCAC